ACACACACACACACACACACACACACATATTCCTTTTTATTGTAAGAATTGTAATGTATCGAAATGATACATATAGCAATTGACTTGTGGAATTTTAAAATTTCTGAAAAAATTGTCGAGGCAATTCTGAAATACTTTGTCTATTCTCTCTTTTGGATTTCGAGAGACGATGCTATCTTGATATGTTCATTTTGGTCTTTTCTGAGCATATTGTTCCATTTCTTATATTTCAAGATTATGACTTTTCGGGACATTGTCTCATTTCTTAAATTTCGGGATTTTGACTTTCCGGAATATTGTTTCAATTATCGCGATTATGATTTTTCGAGACTTTGCATGTCCACCGATTATGTTATTACTTATTACGAATTTTCTACAGTTTTGTAATGCAATCTCCATTTTTTTTATGTGAATTTAAGACGGCCTGGCAACTGACCAGTCAACTTTCCTTTATTCCGATATTAATTAATCTTAATTAAATACGGTACAAATACTCACGCATAAGTAAAAAGAGGTTCGCTAATCGCCAGCAGCAGAATGCAGAGGGCCTGCAAATATTAATTGCTGATTAACATTCCTTTTAACGGTAAACGGAGCATAAACGATGAAGTAAACTGTCTATTAAGTTGACAGGTTTTTTGCACGAAATCACGAAAGAGCTTATTCGCGTGTAGAAAATTTATTTGTAAGAGTACCTACACGTTGAGGCACGCAATTTTGATACGCTACGGTTGTCATTAGTGTTCGGTTTATGGTCGTGAATAGCGTAATTATCTAAACTCGCGGGCCGTTATCGGCCTCGCCTCTTCCTTCGCTTAATCGTACTTTCATTGATAAGTACTGAGACTTTCACACGATGAAAGTTAATCCTGTATATACTTACGGATTCTTCTGAGTTGCATTCTAGAAATTGGTTCAAATATAAAATTCGAATAAACTGTTACTTTATTTAATTAAACTGTTAATTACCTTTTTAATTTATAAAGATATATAAACAGATTATTTTGTTTTTTTAAGGTCCTTTTTTAGAATTGATACTCAAAATATATTATCGTTAATTCTGGTTTACAAAATACGAGACACACGTTATAAATACAATAGTAAGTTGAAAAACATAGTGTAAATTTACAATATTATTTATTAAACTAAATTATTAAATTAGCAAAATAAATTGTTGCTCCTCCAAGGATTAATTCGACGTCTGTACTTCTTTTTTTTAACGATAAGGAAGGCAGTACGTCATCTTAAATAATTAAATTCATTTCTTATATGTTAAGGCATAAATTAATTTGTTTATAATATAACTATTAAAAAACAACTTATTATTCTCAAATATAAATATAAATCTTAATTAATAGCCTCATTAACAAACGAGATGGACAAATAAATAACAATAATTAAAAAAATGAAAGAATGGTCTTTCGTAAAATTTACATGTTCAAATTTTTCACTTTTAATTAACTGTCGGATAAAATCATTCTATAGACATAGACAATAGCTTCGTCGCTTTTCAGATTCCTCTTATATTCCTTTGAGACAAAGACAAGCAAATCTAATTTTAAGAACCATTAATCAACAAAAATAGAAGACAAAAAATAAAAAGATACTGCTTCTCGATTGAAGAAAGAAGCTTAATTGACATTTAAGAAAGTGTGGCCAGAAATCTTTCGAAACGCAAAGTTGAGAAAATCTGACTCACCGAGCACCGCATACCGCCGGCCCTTGAATTGACACGCCGCTTGCAAAGCCTGATAATGCGCCCCTATCCGACCCGTCGTCACGTTATCGGTGTCGTCGTCGTCGTCGCCGAGGCACGGGGTGGCGAAGAGGCGATGCCACCTACTGACCGATCGAAGGCCCGAGAGATGCGATCCGTGTCCGGTCGTGCTCGCCGCCGCGGATGATCCAGATGTATTGCGGCTATCTGCGCTACGCCTCTTCTCTTTTATACAAGATAAAAAGAGCATAGACGCGGTTCATAGTCGCGATCGCCTCCCACCGTGGAAATGTACGAGCGATCGCCGCGTCCGCCGTACCAGCGCGCTGAATGGAAATGGAAAACGGGCAGGGTACCGAGAGGGTAAGCTCCGCGCGCACCGGCGCGGCGGCGGCCTTCGCCGCTAAACGCGGCCACGGGTGAGCCGTCGAATTTTTGTTTAGGGAGAAATCGACACTTTCTTCGTCGAGCGAGATGGATAGCGTCGACAGCGCGTCGACGTGATGAGCGTATATCTCGCTGCACAGTTGGAAAACTTGTGTTAAATTTAACATAAATCACAAACAGTCCACTCGAATTTTTTTATTAATTTAACATAATATGGATGTGTTAAATGGTAACACTGATACTATGTTAATATTTCAACCAAAAACATATATTATTTTAATCGTAATTTGAAGTTAATTAGGTGTACAATTAATATAACTTTTATGATAAAATTAACACATAAGAAAAGTTTTTTTTTATATTTTACAAATGTAACAACTCAAAAATAGTGTTGATTTTAATACATTTAATAAATACGTACAAATTGTATTACTTTAACATATTTTTTTAAATTATTTTAATAATTTTACACTTTATATTTGTTACGTTTAGTTAACATAGCAGACATGTATTAAATTTACTGCACATGAATATGTTGATTATTTAACACAGAAACTTTAACCAGCAGATTTTTTCACAAAAGTATTTACACAAATTTTCCAACTGTGTGTATCCATCATGCGAGAGATGCTGCATCACAGCGGCGAGATTCCTCCCGGCTTTTTTCCCGCCGGGATAACTCGGATGAGTAGAGAGATTGATCCGACAGGTGTATTTCGCGCTTACTATCTCAGTTCTATGAAATGAAAATAGAATACCATTGCGGCTCTGAGCGGGGGGAAGGGGAAGGTGAAGAGCTTCGCCAAACGAAAGTTAGTAGATAGCGACGGAAAATATCGACGGTAAATAAAAAAATCATAGTAGACAGCGACAAAAAAATTGATAGGATTTATTAGCTATCGTATGTAGCTAAGCCGCCTGGGTGCAGTAGCATTCGCGTTAGTCTTTAATTTACTTGGTTTCTACTTCGTTTCTTGCTTTGCTTATTAAATTGTAGCGCATACACGTTCTTCAAAATATCTTTTTTCATTACCAATTGTAGGGGAATTGTATTTTATATAGTTATATGAGAAAAAAATATAATATTATTTGCACACAAATTTGATTTAAATACTTTCTATTAGATAAAAATAAGAAATGATAAGAAGCTTTTATAGAAATAAAATATTATAAAATAAAAGTAAATAAATAAAAATTAATAAAGATAAAAAGTAAAATAAAATATGAAAGATATGTGAAATAATAAAGTAATATTATAAATTTGTCAAATTTTATCTTGAACGAAATTAAATCTTTATTGTTAATTACTATTCTACAGGTGACGCGCAAATAGATGCGTATTAATGAATCTATAAGCCGCACCCAAAGTATGCTTTCCAAAATACGAATAATAAATAACAAGAGAATGTAACTACTCCGGCAATGCGACCTTACGGAAAGTGTTCTACATTTACTGTTATTGCACTTTCGACGCGCGCGATTGATTCTCTGAATATTATATCTAATTTCCAAGAATATTATTTAACATTTTTATTTAAGCAAAAGAAAAACTTTCTTATTTTTTAGGATAATGCAAACTTTCGCAAAGCAATTGTAATATTTATAAGATATTATTTTCAATCAGTAAATTGTTATTGCAATATAAGAAACAATTTTCCGAATTACAACACAAATATTATGTAAGTAGCGTAAATAAATCATAACAGAATGAAAATCTGCTGTTGTTATACATTGATAATGCATTTATTAAAGTTACTTCACGTATCATATATATCGCGTAAATAATTAAATCATTAGCATAATTCGATATAATCAAACATTTTTTTTCTGTTTGATTATATTAATCGCATTTATAGATTCTTATTTTAGATTTTTGTTAATAAATAAAAAATAATTATTGACAATTAAATCGAAAACTATCAATGCAATCAGAAATTAATTAATCAAACATTTTTTTCTGTTTGATATCAGTTGTATTTATAATTCTTTTTTGAGACTTATATTAATAAATAAAAAATATTTATCGACAATAATTAAAATTAATGTACAACTATCGTCTGCAAACACTCTACATTCTGTCTTCTGCAGTTTTCAAAAAAATAAAATTCAAGAATACACATTATAACGATGTTTTCGATATAATTCATCAATTCGTATTCCTATCGTACCGACTGTGTTCTATTTTATGTAATTAAAAATATAAGAATTTCACTGACAAGAATAACCACCGATTTCATATTGCAGCCGTTACGGTCCACATACACGAATCCTTTCTCGACGCGCCACGCGCCGCGCGCCGGGGCGCTGACAATGGGATCGTTAGAAGCACGCATTAATTAGTTCATTTACGCACATACTTTCGTGCACCGAATTCAAGGTCGAATTTCTAACTTCATGCCTTTTTTACAGAAACTGAATAGCATTCTATTTCCTAATCAGTCCTACTATCTCCTTTTTTGGAAAATGACGTGAAAATCAATCCTTTCAGCAATAAACAAAAACTATCGATAACTTTTTTCCAAGAAGTGTATATATTATATGAATTTTTTTAAAATAGTAGCCAAACTTATTCGGACTTAACTAAATTTTCTTAACTCTAGAAAGAAAGAAAGGAATGAAATGAAAAATGTGTAATGACAAAGAGAAAGTTTCTATTCATTCCCAAAGAGATTTTCATTGGAAATATATTACTTATAGTTCAAATTATAGTAAAATCTTGCAATAATTGAAAAAAGCACGCTGCGAATTTTTGATTTGTATGATAAATACAACAAGGAATGGATTAAGATTAAATAATTTCTTATGACTGCAATTCTTCACATACAATAGGTCCACGAGTCAGTGCATTCAAAACACGTCTGAAGATGTGTCTAAAGATTAATAACCATACATAGCATTTTTTTCATCGTTCTTAGTCACGCTTTCGACTAAATGATTTAGTAGTTATCTAATTGACATGTATTTTCCATTCTTAGGATATATTATCGTTTTTTCAAATATCCATAAAGTACTTACGATTTAAATGTATAATATTCATAAAATGTAAAGTATGGTAAATTTATTTTACAGTTTTATATATAATTAATTTTTCTTTATATTTCATCTTTTCTTATTTCATTCATATTTTAAGATTTTTCTATTTTTGAACATGTACTGTGCACTGATGTAATCCGATAGTTTTTAAGTTACAATTTTATATAGAAACTTACAGAAATCATGATTAAATAGTAAAATACTTAAGGATGACTTGATTTCGATATGCCTTAAATTTTCTCTAAAAACGAGATATTTTATCCCTGAAACAAAATTTTGCTAGATACAATTAATAACCACAATTATTGAGTCAACTGTCAAAATTTGCAGCGGAAATTTTGCAATAAACTCTAATATACCGGAAATTTCACTGCGGAATAAGAAAATCGCGATCTTTCCTTCCATATAAGTGCTAATGTCTTAAAGCAGAAAATTGCGACGATCGAATAACGCATAAATTGGTCTATTAGGAAATCAAGTAAAATGCGCTTTGAAGAGGGGGAGAGAGAGAGGGGGAGAGAGAGAGAGAGAGAGAGACAGAAAGAGAGAAAGGGAGAGAGAAAGAGCATAAAATCGGACAATGTATACACATTAACTAAATGTGTATACATTAAACAAACATCATGTATTTAGCTCTATAAAACGTAGATATACATGCGTAGAAAGTAGAGAAAATTATTCAATATTTTTACGAAAAAATATGTTATAATAATAAATAAATTTAGAATTGCCAGAAAACATGGAAAAGCTAGTTTTAAAATTAAATATAGATAATAATTGTTTTATAACAAATTGACTAATGGACGCAATTATAAATGACAATACTTTAATATTTTCAATAATGTTTAAAAGTGACTTATCATGCCTTAATTATAGCTTAAACGAAAGTACATTTAAATCACGTTTCCTTCATTTATATACAGGTTTATATTACACATTTCTCTTTCATTATTTTATTTTTGTAGGCTTTGCGGAACAACCGCATTCATTATAATCTTATTATTTTGGATATCCTATACCCGCGAAAATAATTATTACTTCCTGGTAATAGATCGTAAGGCTTTCAATGAGATACTATTGATGAAGGTGAATAACCACTCGTAAGATCGACGAATATATGTTACAATATACTTTCTCAAGTACCATGTGTTGCATTATTCAATAAACATAAGTATACTCTGTATAGCACTTTTGTGCTCTCTTGTCCTATTTTTATTGCATAATTGAAATCGCAAAAATTGAAGTATTAAAAAAATGTAATTAATAAGTGCTTACTCTAAATTATTAAAAATTGATGGACGTAATAAAAATGTAAAATAAATAGACTTTACAATTTTGATATATGACAGAAAATTGTGTTAAAATATAATAAAAAAGAGATACTAAATGTATAAACTTTGATTTAGAAGAAAATTTGAAAAGATATAAATTTTTTTATGTGTAAAAAATATATTTTTAAATATTTAATTTAAAAAAGATAAAAATTTTTATATAACTTGCGCCTTTTATGTCTTATAATTTATAATTTGCTATAGAATACATACAAGATGTTTTTTGTACATAAATATCTTCAATTATAATTAATGAAAAATAGCGATTCTATCCAACATCTCATATTATTGCATTTATATGAGAGTAATTACAGTCTTATATGTATAAAAATTATATAAACAAATTGCCATCAGTAGAAAGATATGTAACAAAAAAAAAATACATCTTAATTTCCATTCATTTTTATCGGTAGCGCATTTTTGTGTCAATTTCTAAAACATTCAGTTTTACCATTAAAACATCAGTTACCCAATTCTTTTACCCGATTCTTTATTTTTTTATAGTTGTTTTTTTATCTCAATTGTGGTCGAAGTTAACTGACCACACCGTTCAGTGCGCACGAGTGACGTTGAGTGAAACTGATCCAGACCTGAAACGGTGCCACTTGATATTCGTCTAAGCGTCCGATCCGTGACATTTAATTTCCTATAAGGCGACACTCTGTTAACGTATTGAAACGTAACACCCTGTACATTTACTCCGACCCTGGCCGGATTAGATTGGATTCCTTCACTAGAGAGTTCACTGTCATGGCCTCGCGAGATGGAAGGAAAAGGATAAAGCCGTATTCGCGTGTTATTCGTTTTTGTTTTCTCGCTCGAGCACCGGCGCGGCGCGGCATACACCGTCATATACGTATAATTTGTTCTTGCGCGCATTTTACAGAGAGACACGCCGAGATCGGTTTCCCTTTCTCCCGTAGGCGCGATTTACGAAGGTGAACGCAAATTTCAGAGAGTGAACGGTCGCCGGTCATCGCCTCGCTGGTTCCGTGTGCGCCTCCGTATTATCAGCTCTGCTCGGCGCGCTTCTTCAGGAAAGGGAAACGGTAACCTCTCTCGCTTCCGTATAACTTACTAGCCATCGACAGCACACATTTTCAATATTGCTTTCAACATGTACCGTGCATGATGCGTCTATTTCCTTCAATTTTCTTCTATACTGCTTACATATTTTTATTTCAAAATGTGCATGAATTATATTTATATTATATTTATTCTGATTGATTAAGCTAATTTTTTATTACATGTAAATAACGCGTTTTAGAAAAGCTATTGTATATCTAAAAGGAGAGTAAAAGGTTTTAAAGAAATTTTTGCAAAATTTTTTGTGTTTTTTTCTTTATTATATATAATATTTTCAAATTTATTCCCTTTGTCTTACCAAAATGTACGCGTGTATTATATTATGAAACAATAGCACACTTCTTGTACATCGTTATACGTTGAGTACGGTTTCTATTCATTATAGAAAGTCAGTGTGACATTTTTTTAAAGCAATTTAATAAGAACTAGTGAGAACAGTATGAAAAAAGTAAATTAAGGAAGAAACGCGCTAGAGAAAGTATGGAAGTGGCCAAATTGCTAGCAAATCATCTCTATAGCATTTAAAAGAGAAGTTAGTAAAAGCCAATCAATAAATAACCTTATAATTTTATAAATCCTATTTTCATTCACTTATATTTAGCTTATTTATATTTAACTTATTGTTATTTTAATAAATAGCATCATTTATAGCTCTTAAATCCGCGTGATTATATAAATATTACTGTGATCAATTACAGTAATCATACTTTTTAATTAAAAACCATCTAATTTTAATTGAAATATGATTTTATATTATTTATTTACATTTTTGAAATTTATTAAAAATCCTACAATATAATGCTATAATATAAGGAATAAGTAGAAAATAATTATCAGATCAAAAGAGAAGAGCGGCTTTCGTAAATGCATTTTTTATCAAGCGTTAATCTTAAAAAATGCTACTATGACTTTCACATAAATTTATAATTAATAATAAACTTTCAATTTGCGAGCCCGATATAGCGTTATTCCGTTAATTGCTCGGTTTTCGATGATAAACTATACGATTATACAGAGATGTTGATCTGCACATTTGTAGCTTCTTGTATTATGCAAATCTTGCGAAAGTACTGCCCCCTTTGCTTTAAATTAATTTTTGTATACATATATTCAGTTTGGTTGTCACTAAAATTTACAGATGAAGCATAATGCAAGTACGATAATTATCGAATAACTGCTCTGATAAATATTATAATAATTACCAACAGTTACATTTAGATGTGAGACAATTACCGAGGTAGAACAGAAAGTCACAAAAAAGTCAAAACTTTAAAATGATGGTAAAATGGTCAAAAATCGTAATTTTGAGGTCATTTTGACATCATTTTGACTATATTGTGACTTATTGCTGTTCCTACCTGGGTAATCAAAATATTTTTAACATTATCGTGTAGAAAAATTCGCGATGCGTGATGTTATATCTTTGCATAAAATACAAGATGCTGCAATTATGATACACCATAATTTCTAATATTTGTAATTCTAGCATGTAACTATAATATTGCAAATGTAATTGATGTTAGCAGTTTACTGACAGATGGCAGCAATTGCTGAACTTTCAAGTAGAATGTAGACAGACAGAACGTAGGTAGAGTTACTATCTTACCCATCTATGCAACTTTTCCATAAATTTTAGTTACATTTAAATAATATTCAATCATCTCTCCGTTTTTTTTCCCAAAAAATGCAATTAAGAGGAGATACAAAAAGATATTATTTATTACGCACCAATAACAGACATCTTTAATAAATATTTATATTATATTTATTACACTGTAAGAAAATTTTTGTTTTGTAATTCTAAATATGTCCGAATACTCTGAATATTCAAATACTTCGAATAAAAAATCCCAGTAAGCAAAATATTAGCATCATGTGCGCAGTAAATTTGATCAAAATCTCATATCAAAACCATAGCCATCTGTATTCGCATTAAGCTCGTACTCTGTCGACAGAGCCTGCTGACAGGCAATATGACCCAGGCTCTGTCGCATTTTCTGATAACAGTTTGACAAACATCGCCCGATAGAGCAGCTTCTGTGTGAAATTTAATGCCTTTCTGACATCAAAAATTTACTGCAAAATCTGCTCAGAATCTGTCTGCGCAGGTTTGGCTAGCTGGGATATTACATCCGAATTTATATATGTCAGACTTATTCAGAATAAATATATATGTAATACATGGTTATATATGTATAAATATTTGCAATCCTATGACAAATTTTTATGATATAGGTAGAATATCCTCAAAACATTCGAACATCTTTAAGGCTGCGGTCCATTTGATGCTACAAATGCTTTGAAGCGTTCTTCTACACCTTCTTTTTTCACCGGAAGAAAGGAGAAAAGGAATGCATCGAAGCATTTGTAGCGTGTGAACCGCAGTTACAATAGAATAATAATAGTTGTAACAGATAAGTGGTAACATAATTATAGACATAAAATGATTAAAAGGTAAAAAGAGAGAAATCTTCCAAGCTTAAATCAGGAGGGATTAGGGAAGAACGCGCCGCACGACTGTTCTTCCTCTCTTGCGCAAGATTAGTGAAACGAACGCAAACTCACGTCCGTCCGCCCGCGTGCACGTGGTACGATCGCGATCTTGATCTTGGCCGTTCACCTGGCGTCTGCCTTTCTTTAGAAGGAGGAACAGCCCACTGCGACGGATCTAATCAAAAACGAGGAAATGATACAAATGCGGCGAGCGTGGTGAGGGAGGAAGGCGAAGTACGCCAACGGCGCGGGCGCGGCGCTTGTTCCCCTCTGTACCCACCGCGATCGAATGATTTTTTGCTTTGAGAATGCCATTATAGACGACTCCTTTCACGAATGGAGCAGCGCACCCGGGTGGTAAAATAATCCCTTTCATTCTTATCCGGCTTCTATCACATGCGTGTATATATAAAGCGGCACGCGTATTCGCGATGGTCGTCAGATCGAGACCGGGCGGTGGAGCAACACGCGTTATCGTGTCTTTGCCTTCGTCACCCTGCTGTCGCGGAAGCGACATTTTTCTCGCCGGTCCTATCAAAAAAACGGAACAATGACAGAACGACGAGACTTGATTCCACGCTTCTTGGTAAGTCTCAAGACGAATTACGATGCGTTTATCGCATTTGGGACCATAACGAAAGTGAGACAGTAACGGAAGTGAGACGGTGACAGTCGGTGATGGTTGAGATTTTTGGAGTTCGAATTATTTGGATTATTTTATTTCTACGCTTAATCAAGTAGAAAAAATGTAAGAAGTATTTGTTTTATAATTTGCACAATTAAAGAAATTGTAAATAACATTTGTTTCTTTTTTAAGATTTCTTTAGTATAAAAATAATGTTTAAGTATTATTATAATTAATAATTAATAATTATAATTAATAATTATAAATTAATAATTTTTATTGTTTATTGTATTTTCAATCGTGACTTAGTGTTCATAGATTTTCTAATTACTGCTGTTCGGCATATCTTTTGTAAAAAGTTAATTGTTATTGAAATTGCATACTCAAATTATTATGTTACTTTAATATTATATGCATACAGAAGAGCGTATTTTTGTTATATATTATTCCTACACAGTAAAAAAATTTGTGTTAAATATAACATAAAGCACATGTCCCAAACGGTCCACTTACATTTTTGTATTAATTTAACATAATGTGAATATGTCAAATTATGACACAAATATTATGTCCATAATTTAACACAAAATAAAGAAAAGTTTAATGATATGTGAACGAAAATTTTATGTACAACAGACATCTGTATAATGTTAAATATAAATAAAAAATATGTTAATTTAACATTTTTGTATGTACAGTAGACATCTGTATGATATTAAATATAAATGAAAAGGATATTTTTTTAACAAAACTACATTATTTTTATGTTAATCTTACGATTAAATATAAAATGTGTTATTTTTACATTTGATTTACTTAAATATAAATTTAACACAAAAAAATTAGATAACGTAATCAAAATTACTTAAATTAACAAATAAGTATGTTACATTTTTAACACAAATACACAAAATATTGTACTGTGTAGTCGACCGTTGCAAACAAATAACTTCTTTTACTTTTTGGTAATAATACAATTAAAATAAATAGGATTAATTTTGTATATTGCACCTCTAGAAGAATACTGTCACAACTCAAGAAATTTCAATTTTAAGTTAAAAAGTATAGGTACCTAAACTGTTATCTATACATGCTATAAATAGTGTCACAAGTCTATATACGAAATCTACTGCACGGAGCAGAAGTGTCGTTATTCTTTTAAACCGGTTATGTCACGGGGTCATTGGATGAATAGTGTCATAAGTGATTTGACAAGTGAATCACGCCAGATCTCTTCAAGAGACGGTATAAGTTTTATTATAACAAAATATCGTAATTGTAATTGCGTTAATTATCTCACAATAAAAAAAATTGAATTAAATTTGTTTTTACTCTCTCCTGGAAATTGTAAATTTTTAAGTTAAGACAGTATTCTTCTAAGGGTGCGATGTATAGCTTTATTAACAATCTTTATGAAACAATATCCATTATTTTCAGGATCGCAAATGGCATTTTTCTCTCTAACAATAAGTGACTGTATATCATGACGATCGTATTTTACTTATTATTATTAATATTATTTTCAGTTGACTCTTCTCTTAGTCGCCGTACTATTTAACTTAGCCAGCGCCGATGGACACGGGCATCATCAGTAAGTTAAAACCAAACTTATTATATTGGAACGTCTAAATATAATTTCATATCCTGTGATAATAAAATTAATCGTGTATAATTTTTCATCTTTGAAGCCAAGATCAGAATCTTTAATTTTATTCGCGTCCTTTTTAGCAGTCACGTGATAATCCACGTACCGTACAAAATCAAGACTATCCACCACACTCACACGATTACGAAACACATACACCACGGTCACGGCCACGGCGGTGGCGCGGGCGGCGGTGAGGATAACTACGAAGTACTCGGGTACACTGTGGGTCATCCTATTGACCTTGGGGGTCACGGCGGCGGCGGCGGTGGTGGCGGCGGTAGCTTTGGTGGTGGCGGCCACGATTTCGGCGGGGGCGGCGGTGGCGGCGGCCACGATTTCGGCGGTGGCGGCGGCGGCGGCGGCGGTGGTCACCTAGAGCTGAGTCACGGTGGCGGTTTCGACGACGGGGGTGGATTCAGCGGCGGAGGTGGATTCGGCGGCTGGAGTGGATTCGGCGGCGGAGACCAGACGGGACATTAGAAGGATCTTCGAGTGAATTACCGATAACTTTTGAGAAACGCTAAAATTAAAGTAATCGACATGGTACCCTTTGAAACGTATGGAATTTTTCCATAACTTCTTTCAGTTCCCATTATTCTGCTAATAATGCTAGTGTTTTGTATATTAGTTCCATCATAGAACAATATAACAAAATGCTGTTTAAGTAGACAGTTAGCGTGTCCAAAATCGGGACATAAGATTGCTTAAAGACATCTTTAAGACGTCTTATGTCCTTATCTTGAACATGGTGCTATCTGGCTATCTATAGACATCCGTTGGATTCGTTCTGACTGTTGCATAAATTGCATAGAAATATTTTAAATTATACTGGAAAATTATTTGCAGAAATTATGAAATTGCATTTGAAAATTATAGATTGTTGCAATTAGATGATAAAGTGACATGTAGGAAAAATCTAAAATATATAAAAAGTTTACTATGTGTTAATGATCCATACGCCGGAGAAGGTATATAAAGTAACGGCACTTTCATCTGAACTGTCGTCAAACGGAAAGTTAGCATTCGTGAGAGAATATATATTTGCTTTAAATAGTTCGCACGCACGATACTTTTGCGTGTGTCGGTACAACGAGCGACTCGATTTCACATTAACAATGCAAGAAACGCGAGAGTTTATAATTTATAATAATGTGAAATCGAATGATTAATTGTTCTGATGCATTAAACTAAACAACACCAGGATGTTTTATTTTATAGAGTATTGACTGACATTTTATTATTTTCGACTTTTGAAAAGCTCTTTTTTACCTCTAGTCTGAGATACTTTCATTAAATCTTCGACATGTTTTTTGACCACAATGTATATGTAAATATCGTTACGTGTTTTATTCTTGTATGTTGTTTTTATATCTATATCTTTTGTTATAAATATGACGAATAAATGTTGTATGTTTTTACGGCGCGTATTTTAAATACGACCGTAATTTCCTGTGTATCCCTCATATTCCGGAAATATTCTTAAAAAATTTTAATTTTTTTCGAAACATTAAGGGAAAAAACGTATTAACTGGTTCATTGAATTAAAAGAAAAATTCAAAAAATGCTAAATTCACGTGAAAAAATTATTATTTAAAACAATATTTTTTTAATACACCAAAAAATTTAAAAATTGTATAGCTGAATAACTTAAAAATATTACAGAAATTGTTTGCTACACAAAATAGATTTAAAAATATTACTATAAGTAGAGAATAAATGTAACAAAAAAATATTACAGTAAGAATATGTTACGATTTTATTTATACACTGTTGGAAAATTTGGATTAAATATAACATAAATCACATGTCCAAAACGGTCCACTCAAATTTTTGTGTTAATTTAACATAATATGGATGTGTTAAGTGGTAACACTAATATTATGTTAAAATATTTCAACAGAAAGGAAATGTAATTCTAATCGTAATTTGCAGTTAATTATGTGTACAATTAACATAACTTTTATGTTGAAGTTGAGATTGTAAAATAAAATCAACACTCTATTTCTGTAAATTTTTATTCCTATCTTCTTTTATAGAGTAAAATCAACATTCTTTTTCTGTAAATTTTAACACATTTAATAAATACGTTCAAATTGTGTTACTTTAACATATTTTTTAAGTTATTTTAATTATTTTACATTTTGAATTTGTAAAATTCAATTAACATATAGCAGGCATATGTTAAATCTACACACGTATGTGTTGATTATTTTACACAAAAATTTTAACAAGGACTTTTTTTAACACAGGACCTCTGTTTTCAACAGTGTAGATATATTTTTTCTAAAAAAAAATATATCTATAAATATATCTATAAATAAAATCGTAACATATTCTTACTGTAATATTTTTTGGTTACATTTATTCTCTACTTAGTAATATTTTTAAATCTATTTTGTATAGCAAACAATTTCTGTAACATTTCTAAGTTATTCAGCTATACAATAGCTGAAAAAAAATAATAATATCATTAAGTAATGGTATCGTAAGTTGCGTCCATTAAAATAAATTTTCGAGGATTTCAAAGGAAATAATAACACATTGTAATTTACATAAATCCTTTATTTGTCATGTCTTTATTTATGCTGTCATTTCGACACTGAATTGACGAGCACATATTCGAAGAAAAAAGGATTAAATTCGCCAGAGGTGAGGAAGGGTCTCTACAAGTTGATCTGTTTTCACGAAATTAAATTTTGGTTCAAAATATAAACTAATATTTAATTTATAGCTAAGAAAAGTTAGCCAAAGTCAAGTTTAGCCAAAATGCATTTCATCGCAATGATATCTGATAAGAACAGCCTTATAAAAAAATAAGGTTGCTGAATAGTAAAAAAATGAAAGAATCTGTATCAAATTCTAATAGTATTGCTTCTTTATAAAGAAACCTTTGTTTTCATAAAAATAATTTGTTTTTTTAGTTTTCTTTGCCAATGTGTTTAGAATGTTCTAAAACGTCGAAAAATCACATTTTTACAAAATGTCCGTGTGTGTGCGTGCGTGCGTGCGCGTGTGCGCGCGCTCGGATGTGATGTCCGTAGTTGCTCTAACTTTTGCAAATTTTGAGATATCGGGCTCAATAATAGAGTATTATTAAAGGAAAGTTGGTATTGAATTTGGCGATGATCGGTAAAGAGATTTTTTCTTTATAAAATTTTGAATAAAAAAAAAAAAGACTCAAAGGATTAAAAATCAATTAAAATATTAAGAGCGTAGAGTCATAACAAAGATATCAGTGTTAATAGTTCTATATTATAGTTAGCCCAGTCAAATTAAGATTTTTGGATGAAAAAATTCCCGGCAAGCTGGAAATTGGTATACAGGTTCATTTTAGTGTTCTTTTAAACATACTAAAAGTCCCCATACATAGAGCGTGAGCCGGCTGCGCCATCTTGAAA